CCGCCAGCTGCGGCCTCCAAGGTGTCTACGCCGCCAGCTGCGGCCTCTAAGGTGTCTACGCCGCCAGCTGCGGCCTCTAAGGTCCTACGTGTTGGACGGCCTCCCGGCCGCCCCCCTGAACGATGGTCCCGTGTTGGACGGCCTCCCGGCCGCCCCCCTGAACGATGGTCCCTTGTTGGACGGCCTCCCGGCCGCCCCCCTGAGCGATGGTCCCGTGTTGGACGGCCTCCCGGCCGCCCCCCTGAACGATGGTCCCTTCGGACCTCCAACCTGCCTTTTGCCCACCTCCGGTGCCCCCTCCACCCGCCTGGTCCTTGTTAGTTCTTTTTCTTTGGTGGTCCATCAAGATGCCGGACCTTTAAGGGGGGGCTATGTCACGGTCAGCGGCCCCCGCTGCCCCCCCCATCTGCCTAAGCCTCTGCTTTCTCCTTCAAGCTGCAACCAGGAACCAACTGTCACGGTCAGCGGCCCCGCTGCCCCCCCATCTGCCTAAGCAGATGGGGGGGCAGCTTCTCCTTCAAGCTGCAACCAGGAACCAACATTTATATCTTCAAACAATCATCCCACAAACTAAATCATTTCCTTCCATTTCTAGGTTCTGTCTCTGTCTGCTCTTTATATTTTTGTTGTTCTGCTCTGTGTGTGATTTTCTGTTTATCTGATTCTGTTATTCTCCACTCACTCCTCAGTCTGCCTCTCCACTCAATCTTTATCATTCACACCTGTCCCTCATCAGCCACCTGCCCAGGTGCTCTCGTTACTCACTCTCCCTCTGTCTCATAAAAAGCCTGTCTCTCCTTCACTTTTTGTCCGGTGATTGTTCTGTGTTCACAGATTTCTCGGTCCTCCCCTGTCTTGTCAGTTTTTGTCCATCTGATGATCTGCTCTGCCTAGTTTCTGATCCTGTCTGCCAAAGTAAGGTTTTGCTGCACCGACAGCCTTTTGTTTTGTTATTTAAATAAATTATTTTTATTTTAAACTCCTGCCTCACTCGCCTCCCTGCAATTGGGTTCCAACCTCGAGGATCGTGACAGCCTACTGTCTTTGCAGCCTTTAAACATGGCCTGACGTTTGGAGCCAGCACCGCATCATGTGAAAATTCGTTTTCCACTCTTAAAAATGTCTTCACAGAGCATCGCCAAACTATGCTTCATCAACGCAAGGCAAATCTGATCCAGTTGGCATTTGAGAAGGACTTGACTCGGAAATTTAGGAATGAATGGAAGGACAGTGTTTTGAGAAGGTTTCACACACTATACAAACGCCGCCTGCCACTCTACTAAAGGTGGAGTAAACCCCTTTCTAGTTTCCCCCACCCCGCCTCCCTCACACATAAAATGGTGTTTCTTGCAGGCAGAAGAGTAAAACTTCTTTGTTTTGCTCCTTGTGCTCCCCAGTTGTTGTAGTTAAACCTCCTAGCATGAATGTTTACTTCAGTCACAGTGTTCAGCCTGAAACTTGTGCTTATATTTATCACTGTATGTTTATGCTTATGTTTGACTTTTAATTGAATGAACACAGCTCTACAGGTTGGGTTGTCTTGTTCATTTTTTTTTTTATTTTTGCTTAGATTTTGTGATTTTATTGAGATTGTTTCTTCACAGCACTGTATTAGGGGTGGTCACAGAGCCGCTGTTCAACTTGAAGCAAATAAAATGTTTGTTGAAAAAAATATGCCCCCTTGAAAAAATAGAATGCCCCCCCCCTTTGAATAGTTTCTGCAGCCGGGTCTGGCCCTGGTGGTCACAATTTTTTCCAAAAAGAAATGTAGGAAGTTCTCGCACAGCTCAGTCGAGGCTTCCAGAGGTGATGGTTCAGTGAGGTGGAGAACAGAGTTTAAGGGATAGAAGAGGACACGTGGGTTGCGTGAGTTTGAGGTTATGATATCAGAAAAGTATTTGGATTTAGCAGTTTTTACTGCTTTCTGATAACGGCGCCAACTCTCTTTAAGTATTTAAAAAGAGACCTGCAGCCTGTCTTTCCTCCATTTGGTTTATGTGTTATTTAAAAAAAAAATATGACAATGTTCACACCACCAACAAAATAATTACCATTGAGAAAAGAAATGTGTTGACATGTGAATAAATTAGCTCTTTGTAAAGAGATCATTGAAAACTTAACAAAATGGCAACCAAACCCCCTACTGTGGTCCACCTTTAACAGGATCTGTCTACAAACTGAAGCACTACAACAATTGGCTCCAGTAACGGCTACAGAAACTGGCTCAGATCAATTTAGCTTCATTTCATGATCTTCTCCCACAAACCTTTCATGCTGTCAGAGCTGAACATTTTAGCTGCAAAAAGTTATTAGTTACTCCACATGTGGGTTTAGGTTGTACCTTGTTAAACTTTTAGTGTGTGTGTAACAACATGAGACTGAGAATATTACTCCAATGATAATATTTACCCATGTCAGCCAAGTTACAGAGGGCCAGCAGGCAGACGTTCACCAGTGGGTCGTTATTTGGGTATTCCCTCATGATGGAAACCAATCTGGGGATTACTCCGCTCTGGACCAGCTGGTCCTGTTGGTGCGCTGTGTGAAAAAAGACGATCAGGGACTGTTATGGTGTTCAAGAACTGAAACTTTTTATTTTTTACATGAATAATGCAACTTAATTAACTTTATTTTATTTTCTTCAGAGGAAAAGTTTGATGAAAAATTAAACAAATTGTAAAAGACGATGTAAAATGGTAAAAAAAAAATTGTAAAATGTTACTTTCTGTAACTTGTTTAAACTCTGAATGACATTTATACTGTGAGAATCAACCATCCACTGGATGGGTGCCAACAAACATGATACCACTTTTATACACTTATAAATGACTAATAAACCGTTAATAATTTCATTATTAATCCAGCTGTGGACACCCAATAAGCCTTCAATAAGATTTAAACATTAAATATTTGCAATAGTTGAACAAATTCCTGTGGGGGGGTGGGGGGGTGGGAGGTGGGGCGGAAAGGTAACGAAGGTTGGCCTGTGACTGGAAGGTTGCCGACAGCATCAAAATGGGGGTGGAAAGGTGAAGCACCCACACCTGCCTCCACTGTCATCTGCCCCACTCTGAGCCCTTGAGCAAGACCCTTAACCCCCCCCCCCCCCCCCCATCTGCTTCCCCGGGTGCCCTAGACACAGAGGGCTGTGGTAGCTCGGTGGTCTGTGGTTGTGTCAGGAAGGACATCCGGTGTAAAAACAATCGCCAAGTCTTTGTGCAAGTTAGTTTGCTGTAGCGACCCCTGAAGAAGGAGCAGCCGAAAGAAGAAAAAAGAAGTAAATGATAAATGGACTGTACTTATATAGCGCCTTTCTATCTAATCAAGACACTCAAAGCTCTTTACAACAATCTGTGCCTCATTTACTCGTCCATACAGCACTCTACTAGATCGCTACAAAGCTAACTGAACAAATCATTCTAAAGAGACTAATCAGAGCTTTATCACATTCAAACACTGATGGGACACACATCAGAGGCAGTGAGGGGTTCAGTGTCTTGCCCAGGGACACTTCAGCATGTGACTGCTGGTGGATTCGAACCCCCAACTCTTGCATTGGAGGATGACTGCTCTAATCACTCAGCCACAGCCGCCCTCTAAGTAGAACAATTTTTGTTTTTAGCAAATTTAATATTTTAGATAAAAACTGCAGACTGAGCAACTAAATAACATTTACCTGAATGAAAGTTCAACACTTGATTCTGAAAGTGAGCTTGCTTCAGTGAACGAACAGCATTTTATAACTGTTTTATAAATATTTTATAAATATTTTTAAAGTGTTTGTAAACTTATAACTTTTTATGAAGCATTAAGAAATTATTTATAAAGGTATCCTCACTGTAAAGTCATGCCAAAAAAATATTAAAAAATAAACAACAAACAACAACTGGCACCCGAAATAGAGCTCCTATTACACATCTTTATCAGAGATGTTTCAGGCAATTAGGCCCTACAACATATAATAAATAAAATGTATTTCTTTCTGCTTCTCAAATTATTTTTGTATAGTTTAGTTCGTTATTGAATTTGGGTACAAATCCATCCGACCTAAAACATTTTTTCCTTTTATGATGTTTAAATGTAGCATTGTTAAGAGAACTGCTATAGCTACATCCGTTTTATCACTAATATTAATCAATTTTCACTTTTAATATTAAGATGTCTGTCAGTGTCAGAACCAAAAAAAATCAGTTTTGTAGTTTGAAAGCTATGCAATCAGAAAAGATTGTCATCTTGTCTGAAGAACTCACTGTTGTCGAAGCAGATGCGTCCAATGGCCCTGCCGGTGTTCAGCAGCATCTCCTGATCGTGGCTGTTCAGATGAGGAACCAGAACTTTGACCAGGCCGGCCTCGATGCAGGGCTCTCTCACCGCAGCTGCAAGCACGTCCAAACAGACAAAGTCCAACGTCCTGAAATCTACTGATGATTCTGAGGGTTTCTGGACTAATGGCAATCCCTGTAGTAGAGCTGTCATTTCTAACCTGGGCCTGAAGCCCGGTCCGGCCATGATTATGTGCTGGATGGGCAGGCTGGGTCGGTGTCGGGCTTTTGATTGCGTCAGCGGATCAGCCGCGATCCAAATATATGGCAACATAGCTTGCCACAAAATCCAATTATATGGTAACGTGGCTTGCTATACTTCACCAGTCTCATGCAGCCATTTCACCATGAGCTGACCGGCCTTGAAAGAGTTAAAAAGTTCAGTTAAGCTTCAGATGGGACTGTACTACCAGGAAGTGATCCATCACCCAAATGGACGTTCATTCAGCTGCTGCACTCAGTGGACGCGCGAGGTCGATGACCAAAACAGGTGAGATCCCATAGCAGACATGTCAGAGTGGTCTGTGTCTGAATAAATCAGAATTCAGGCTGAAACAGGGATTTAATGATCTTTGACATTCATGAAAGGACAAACACCCCCTCAGCTCTGATCTTCTGCCCCTTTTATTCAGCTGCGTGTCACCACGGTAAAGTTAGTTTTACGTTGGACATTGGAGCTCCGTGGCTTCAGCGGTGTGTTCTTCTCGTTCGATCCGATGCAGTCAGTCTGATTTTGGTCAACCACACTCGAACGAGAGGAACACACCGCTGAGCTCCAATGTCCAACGTCCAACATAAAACTAACTTTACCACGGTCCGCTCGTACTCCGACCGTTATTAACTATAAGCAGTCAAAGCTTAATTAAAAATGTCCAGATTCAGACCTATAATTACTGTTAATTCATCGGGTCGGGTGGGGTTCAGAAATGATGGCTACGGGCCGGGGCCGGGTTGGATTTTTTTGGGTCCGAATGCAACTCTACCCTGTAGACAAAATGACTGGAAATATAGTTGTAGGTTGTTTATTTTATATTTTCACAAAAGTGATTTTGTTTTTATCTTATGAGTCAAAACAGTACATTATTATTATTATTATTATTATCATCATCATCATCATCATCATCATCATCATCATCATCATTATTATTATTTTAGATTTTTGGCTCAATTACTTGTAATAATGATGTGAAAGCATTGTTTACTCTAATTGCTCAAAAAATACATTCTATATTTGAACTGATTTGTCAAAACATCATGACCTACTATGTTTTACTGAATTATATGACAAAACAAAAATTACTGAAGAAGTTTACCTTCTCGAGCCATTTCTGCCACCACCAGAGTCACCTGGCAGCTCAAACTGCTTTTGCGTTGTAAAGCCTGAGTCAGTATGGGTAAAATCCCACTCCTGGTGATCTCAACAGCTGCATTTTTTTCTGCAGAGACACAAATCCATTTGTTCAAATTTACAAGGTCACATCAAAACACCGTGTTAGTTAGCAAAAATAAAGTTTTAACCAAACCAATCAAAATCAATCGTATATTTACAAAACATTTTTTCTGATATCCTGATGCGTGCTCAATAATCCAGGTAGAAAAATCTAAAAAAAAGTTAAATCTGGTCCTCTGGACATTCAAAAAAACTAAACAAAGCAAATCAACAAAAAAATGTGAGCAGCTGGTTTTGGTTGTCAGCAGCAAAACTGGTTGATCCACTCTGAGAAGGTGCTATTTAAGAGACTGAGCTGAATACAGCACCTCAGACTGAGGAAGTCTCTCGGATGAGAGGCGAAACGTTTCTACATTTTTTTGTTGTTTTGCTTTGTGTTTTGTTTTTTTGAATGTCCAGAGGACCAGATTTAACTTTTTTAGATTTTTTCTGATAGTTTCCATACTTTACACTCTTTTACCGCCAGACTGTCACTTTGACATCCTATTTTATTTTCAGGTCCTTTTCTTTAGCTAATTTCTGAATTTATCACACATGCAGCACTCCTTGCATTTAGGACAGATGATCTGGTTGAGCTATAAATGTAGTAGTTCAGATGGTGAAGGTACTCACTGGTGGGGGTAAAACTCCAATTAAACTGTGTCTAAATGTCCTCTAACAGAAACCATGATTATACGTGTCTGTCTGCAGATATTCTACATGACTTACTCTTTTCAAGCAGCGCCGTCAACACTGTATCCAGGTGAGGCTTAAGCTCTTCATCAATCAGCTCCGTGCTCACACTGATGGCCTTTATTGCATCACTTAGAGATTCTGTAAGATAAGTTCAAATACAGATAACCTGGTTTATGCACACACAATGTGTTTTTCCCTCTGTGAAATAAAATGAAATACATATCACTAATTCCTAAATCAACATGACATTTTTTAGACAATGATGCAAACGATGAGTTAAGCCCTAATGAAGACTCAATGCAAACTGCTGCCGTCATTCATTCCTTAGATAGTTGGCATAATGTACGTGAATGTTTCTGTTCAGTGACCTGAGATGACTTATGTTGTGACTTGTTGGTGCTATATAAATAAACTGAATTAAATGTATTCAAGATGTGACTTATGACTGTTTAATTCATGAATAGCTTGGGGATGCATCAATGACCCACTGAGGAGGTGAAGTTAGGAGATCTTTACTCACACTACTGACCTCATGTTCTTAATAAGTGACACAACACAATTTACAGTCACTGCTCTAAGATAAATGGCCTGCTTAAGACGACCTCTAGTAAACTCTGAATGTAGGAGGGGAAGGGAGGGAAGACTGCAGTTGTATGTTCCCATACAATGACTAAATTAGTTATCTGCATTTAACCCATCACATGTGAGATACACCCAGGTGGAGCAGTGAGCAGCTATGTAGGCACCCAGGAAGCAGTTAGGGATTGGGTGTCTTGCTCAGAGACACCACGACATGTGGGCATGGCTGGAAGTCAAATCGTGACCTTCTGATCCCAAGTCAGCTGCTCTACCTCTGCACCATCTTGGCACCAAGCTACATCAACAAGACATCTCCTAAGAATCAGGACATGCTGGCACAGACTTTGTTTAAACTGGTCTTCTATGAGTAGTGGGCTACCAGAGAACTTTGAACTGTTGAGAAGCTGCAACACAAACAACTCCTGCAAAAAGGGATGTGAGGAATCTGGACGTAAGGATACCTCAAAACCAGTATGTAAACAAGAGAGAAACATAACAGGCCTTCAATTTTGACAAACGGAATATGGTGACACAGCTACAAACTAGTACATATTCTACTGAAGAGATTAACAATAACACAATAAGGGGCAAAATGAAGCGATGTCTAAAAGCACAGCTCTGGCTGCTCTACTGTTTCTGCACAGCTTGAACCTCCTCAGCCAGATTATCACAAATTTGTTCTTTGCATTTGACTCATCACGCATGTGAAATACACACAGACGGAGCAGGTATTTAAGTTGCCCGGGAAGCATTTATGGAATACTGTAGGTGTCTCGCTCAAGGACACAGCAACATCTGGGCATGGTGGGGAATTGAACCTTTGACTTTCTAGTCCCAAGAAGGCTGCCCTACTACTCTGCCAAAACTGCTTCTACATGAAGCAGGGGTAGAGCAGTCGTCCTCCAATGCACGAGTTGGGGGTTGGAATCCACCAACAGTCACATGCTGACGTGTCCCTGGGCAAAACACTGAACCCCTCATTGCCTCCGATGTGTGTCCCATCAGTGTATGAATGTGATAAAGCTCTGATTAGTCTCTTTAGCAAGATTTGTCCAATTAGCTACGTAGAGATCTAGTAGAGTGCTGTATGAATGGGTAAATGATGCACAGATTGTAGTGTAAAGAGCTTTGAGTATCTTGATCAGATAGAAAGGTGCTATATAAGTACAGTCCATTTACCATTTATGACTAACATTAAGAGTCAGGATCAGGAGTGAACTAAATATCAGCTCACAAACTGACCATACCAGGGTAAATGGTAAATGGACTCAACCCCCTGTGAATAGTAAACAGCCATCAGTGTGCTAATGATCCATCGTTAGGCTGATGGTCCTTCTTGAGCGTGTGATCAGCTGGTTTTGGTTGTCAGCAGCAAACTGGTTGATCCACTCTGAGAAGGTGCTGTTTATAAGACTGAGCTGAATACAGCACTTCAGACTGAGGAAGTCTCACGCACGAGAGACGAAACGTTACTAAATTTTTTTGCTTTGTTTTGTTTTTTGGTTTTTTTGAATGTCCAGAGGACCAGATTGAACTTTTTTGGATTTTTCTACCTGGATTGTTGAGCATGCATCAGACTGTTTAAAGAGGTATTTCCCCTAATTAATGTCCACATTTTGGATCTACTTAATTTGTCTTTAATGGATGGTTATGTACCACAGCGCTTTAAGGTTGCTGTAATTAAACCTTTAATTAACAAGTCTGATCTTGATTCAGAAATTCTGGCCAACTATAGACCTATATCTAATCTAACTTTCATCTAAAAAAAATTCTAGAGAAAATAGTTGCAGGTCAGTTGCATGAACATCTACAAAGAAATAATCTGTTTGAAGAGTTTCAGTCAGGGTTTAGAGCTTATCATAGCACAGAAACAGCACTAGTAAAAGTCACTAATGATATTCTCATGGCCTCAGACAATGGACTTGTGTCTACACTGGTCCTGTTAGACCTCAGTGCTGCATTTGATACAGTTGATCACAATATTTTATTACAGAGGCTTGAATATGATATTGGGATTACAGGAACAGCTCTAAAATAGTTTAAATCATATTTATCTGATAGAGTCCAGTTTGTAAATGTAAATAATAAATCTTCTTCATACACCAAAGTTAGTCATGGAGTTCCTCAGGGCTCAGTGCTTGGGCCAATACTCTTTACTTTATATATGCTTCCATTAGGTAAAGTTATTAAACAGAATGAGCAGAACAATTTTCATTGTTATGCTGATGATAAACAATTATATTTGTCCATGAAACCCAATGAATCATATCAGTTAGTTAAACTACAAGCATGTCTTAAAGACATAAAAACCTGGATGACTCTTAATTTTCTCCTGTTGAACATAGACAAGATTGAGGTTTTGGTTTTTGGACCTGAGCACCTTAGGAATGAATTGTTCAGTCTTTCTCCCTCCTTAGACGGCATTAATCTGTCCTCCAGCTCTAATGTTAAAAATCTTGGTGTTATTTTTGATCAGGACATGTCTTTTATCCCCCACATTAAAAACGTTACTAGAACTGCCTTCTTCCACCTGTGTAATATCACTAAAATTAGAAACATCGTATCTAAAAATGATGCAGAAAAACTGGTTCATGCATTTGTCACGTCTAGACTGGACTATCGCAATGGTTTATTATCTGGGTGTCCAAATACTTCTTTAAAACGTCTTCAGTTGATCCAAAATGCTGCTGCCAGAGTCTTAACTGGAGTTAGTAGGAGAGATCATATTTCTCCAGTTTTAGTTTCTCTCCATTGGTTCCCTGTCAAATCCAGAATAGAATTCAAAATCTTACTTCTAACCTACAAAGCTCTCAACAACCTAGCTCCATCTTATATTACAGATCTTATTGTTCCATATTTTCCTAACAGAGCACTTTGCTCTCAGGCTGTAGGTTTACTTGTGGTTCCTAGAATTTACAAAAACATAATGGGAGGCAGATCTTTTAGTTATCAGGCTCCTCTCTTGTGGAACCAACTGCCAATCTCTGTCCATGAGGCTGACACATTATCCAGTTTTAAAACGAGGCTTAAGACTTTCCTTTTTGATAAATCCTATAGTTAGGGTTGGCTTGGGTTTCCTGAGCTGTCCCTTAGTTATGCTGCTATAGGCTTAGACTGCTGGAGGACAAACTGACCACAATTTTCACTCTACTACTGTCTTTACTTACTCTGTTCAACCTGTTTTGTATTTGTAATTATTTTTTCTATCCTTAACATGTGTTTTTGTCTTTCAGATACACCTGGACCTACCATTCTATGTTCGTCTGTCTCTCCTTCCTGTCCTCTCAACCAGCTGGTCAAAGCAGATGGCCGCTTGTCCTGAGCCTGGTTCTGCTGGAGGTTTCTTCCTGTTAAAAGGGAGTTTTTTCTTTCCACTGTTGCCACTGTGCTTGCTCAGGATGGGAGACTACAACGAAGCCAAGATTCAACTTGTCTGCTGGATTCCTTAGATAGAGAACTTTACTAATTGGCTTTTCTTTGTATGTGAATGTTCCTGTAAAGTGCCCGGAGACAACTTTGTTGTGATTTGGCGTTATATAAATAAACTGAATTGAATTGAATTGAAAATGTCTCTACCTTACCATCCTAATTTAATTAATCTCAATGTCACTCAGTACCTGTGCAATAACCTGTCACACAACCTGTGTATGCTAGTTTTGTGAAATATATATCATGTGAATTGAAACTTATATTACTACCTTGAAATACTTATTTTATATAAATTCATCCTACTTGCACCGTTATATTCTACCATGTTGTTTACTATATTTATTTTGGACCTTGTAAATATTATATTTCTTTTTCGCTCTTTGGTACTTTATTTTGTATCTTTATTGCATGCTTTAATATTTCATGTCACTTTGTTTTTTGTTTTAAGCAAATCAAATCGGTTCTTCTCATCCTGAACATTTCATTGCACTGTTGACCTTGTGTTGACCTGCATATGACACAACACATTGAACCTTGAAGCAGATGGGCTGCAGCAGCAGAAGATCACAACACGTGCCACTTTTGTCAGCTAAGAACAAGAAACTAAAGTTACAGCTCACACAAACTCGCCAAACATTCACAAAAAGAGACTGACAAAACATTGTTGATGAGTCTCAGTTCACATTGAACAGTTTTGAAGGTAATAATGTGGCACAATTAGGTGTACCTAATAAAGTGGCAGGCGCTACAACCAAAATATTTCAATGAATTTAACCAGATTCTCTTTTTATTGGGTAAAAAATAATAGCAAGAAAGTTGGATTCTCAAAGTTGTTCATTATTACGGTTTAGATAATTAGGGATCGCAGCTAACATTGGCCTGATGTTGGTTATTTAACATGAGACACCATTTTGTCTTACTACTTTCACTGAAAAACAAACACAAGATATTCTGCAGACGACATTGTGATCTGTGGTGAGAACAGGGAACAGGTGGAAGAGAACTTGGAGAGGTGGAGGTATGCACTTGAAAGAAGAGGACTGAAAGTCAGCCATAGTAAGACAAAGTACATGTGTTGTTGACAGGGAGGAGGTGGAACAGTGAGGCTACAAGGAGCAGAGGTCACAAAGGTGCAGGACTTCAAGTACTTCAACTGTCCAGGAATATGTGGAGAAGTGTAAAGAAGAGTCCAGGCAGGATGGAGAGGATGGAGAAAAGTTTCAAAAAGAAGAAGAAAAGAAAAAAAAGATTGGAAAACAAACAAATAAAAGTATTTTGTGCGTACAATACCAGGCATCTCAAACATATGTACATGCAACAGGAAGAAACTTGCCGAAGGTTTACTACAGGTAATCCTTTGAGAGTACGACTAAAATAGCTCGAGCAGGGAGGAGTATCTGACTGACTCACAACCTGCTACGTCAGGATCTAACCCTGTGTCCTTGTATGTGCGTCTGTTTGTGACAAAGTACCTGGGTGTGTGTGTGCGTGCGAACGAGAGAGGGAGGGAGGTTGATGAGCAATTTCCTAATCACAAAGTTTGTTTTCTCAGTTATCCAGGTATATAACAACAAAAAAGGTTGAATCATGTCATCTGGACTTTGTTTTTTTGTTAAAAAGAAACGTTTCGCCCCTCATCCAAGAGGCTTC